AATGGACTAAGGCGTCGGCTGGTTCGATACCTCGGAAGCGGGAGGCATTTTTCTTCGAGCAAGTCATGGTGTCCGGAGAACAAGTGCCGCCATCCCCCACCCGGGACATGGCAGAAACCTACGGGTGCCCCATTAGAAATTCTGCTAAAACAAAACACACACGTGTACCAACCTACCCAACCTAAGACCCCACAGTTCCCTGCCCACACCCAATGGCCTATATTTCCACGGGTTATATCAAATTAAAAAAAAAATATATATATATTTAAGAGTTCCAGTAAAATAGTCTCCAACGACAAAAAAATACAATAAACTACATAATACATTTTTGTATATTGATCTCACATATTACAATAGTTAATAGTCGGGGATAATACGATTGGTTAACTATAAATAGATATGCACAGCAAACGATGAGTAGTAGAATTTAATTAACGCCGAAATATTTTTACGTCACTTCCGTACCTATACACAAACCTGCAATGCTGTAGTTGGATGAAATTTAACTATACCTACATCTAACTTCTGAGTTCCAGAGGTACACAAAACTACATAAGGTTGGACATGCCGTATACTCATAACAATGCGCTCGTAATTATAATGTTAGGTCTGTCCGCCTGTCCAGAAGACCAGAACTTGTGAGTCGTGTGTGAAACCATAATATTGTTATTATTGCGCATGGAAACAAAACTTACCTACGCTGCAGGTGGTTCGCATATTATATTTGCGCACATATAATACGTAATATTATATTATTCGAGCCGAGAAGTCGTTATGTGAACATGTATAATATTGTAATAACTAATAATTGTCATAGGCGGCACAGGAAACCGCGGTTCTTACACCATGGATCACAACACACAGTACACACAATGTAATATACCTACTACAGGCATTATAGGTACACGTCATGTATTATTATCGTGATGATGCATCGCGTTCAATAACAATAATTATTATTATATAGGATATAGTATATTATATTATTATATCGCAGTCACTGTATCGACCACCGAGCGCATCAAGCACAGGATTACGGTCTACAGGAAGTTGGAGCAGGTGGATAAACCGTCGCAGTCGTATATAAGGAAGAGTGAGGTGTTTTTAGAATAAAAAAAACAATTTTTTATTTATAAACTGTTTTTCAACCGGACACACCGTTTCCATCGGCTATGCGTGAAAACACACACAAACACACACATACACACATCACACACAGAGGCGCGTGCTGAGTTATGCACTGACGCTCTGTGTCATACACTTAAGTACTGTATACAGTTTACGAGATCCTGCAGGATGTGCTTCCCGTGCAGATTTCCTTCGTGACCGTTATGGTTGTACTTAGCGGACGCGACGTGTGTTTCTCTCCATAGACCATAGTGCCTATACCTATATAATAATAATATGAATCTGGGGTTAAGCAGTCGACACATTCTGGAGGGCTTCTTCTCAAAAATTGGTTCAATAGGTGTTCAGGAGGGGGGGGGGAGGTTCAAACAGTTTCTACTGACCTTATTTATGTTGTATCATAATATATGGACTGGTTATTACTATTCGAAATAGATCGATTCGACGGTAAAACAAATATATAGGTGTGTATTATATATTTTTTTTAATAGGGTTTTTAAGCATGACCTAATAACGTAGCTTTACAACATAGAGAAACATACAATAATATTATAGTTTAATTTATGTGATTACTAATCAATAATTCAATCCGTTATCGGTCTCATGAATACTCAAATTTACTGAAATGCAGTTTTTCTGAAACAATAACAGATAATCACATTTAGTACGGTAGGTATACATTTTGTGGTATTTGAATCGTATTTTCAGGTCTCCGTGGAGCATTTTTTTATTTTTATAGATTTAAACTAACCAATTGTTCGATCCAAACGATTGTTAAAAATAATATATTGTTGTTTGGTTGCGTGTTGTCTGTGTATATTTTATTCGATTTGTTATACTGTCGTAAGATATAAATACATATTTTAATTGCACAATAATAATATGTCAGGGCAAAATTATTGTCACGACAGTGGGCGTTAAGAATAACAACCAATATAACGAGCTTTCAAATTCGTAATTTATGTCGGTGAATCTAAACTTGGCAAACCACATGAATCATTTCAAATCATAGAGTGGTATTTTTTTATTATAAATTTCGTCTTATTTTCTATAACTTATTCAGTAAGCTTACATAATGTATCTATATTTCTATATTATATATATGTGTATGTTTTCACAAGAGAGTTGGGGTTTGTCAATAAGCTTCGTTATCGAAACGAGTACGCGACTACCTACTATCAAAATATTAATACTATATAAAAGTATAATTTACATTCAAATATGAAACCTAAAAATAGAATAATCAATCGAAATTTAATACATATAGGTAGTTCTGACGAAAGAATATCATTAGACAAGTAGGTATATATTGTCAATCTAGAATAACATAATTATACCATTGGAATCTGATAAAGCCGAAAAATAAACCTCAGGATTGTGTATGTTTTTGACAAGACAATTTACTATATGTTGAATGAATTAAATTATCATAAAAAACATTTGACATTTTTCAATTATTATCAACCTCCTATAGTCCTATCATAAAACGTTTATCAATTACTATAATAATATTTATACTTTACATGCAGTGGTGTTTCATCGTTTTTGTTTATATTAATACCGAGTTGTTTTTTTATCATATTTTAAATTTTGAGTGTAGGTCACTACATAATGTGTGTTTTTTTTTTAAATCTGTTGTGTATATTATTAATTATTACTTGTCGGAAAAATTAAAATGACAGTTAACTTTAAAACTTGAGAGTGGTTTTTGGTACCAAATAAATAATAATATCAATATGGCAATGTGGTAAGTCAGTTTTAGACTATTTATTTATTTTTACTAATTAATATTATCTATAGGCATTTTAAAGTTTTTCTTACAGGAATTATAAAAAAAATATTATATAATAAACTTTTTAAGCTCTAATTTGGACAAAATTCATCATAATCACTTAAAATTATTTTGTATAATTTATCATGAAAAAATACAATTTTCAATGTTAATAGCTAACTTGACAGTTTAATATAAAGTTCTTCATAAGTTGGTATTACATAATTTAAAAAAAATCAAAGATACATTTAGATACGATATCAAGACGACTTTAATTTATGGGTATTTTAAGTTATCATTTTGATAATTTTGAATAAAAGAAAAATAACTATTTTTCTCTTCCGTTGTTGTTAGTCTTTTATTATGTACTATTTTGTAGGTAAATCAAAAAATATTAATCCTAAACTTTTCTCCATTATTACGAATATTACTATTTACTATATACTAAATACTTATAGTATGCACAATAACATATTCAAAATATTTAGGCTATTTAATGTACCGACCTAAAGCTATTTCTACAACGACCTATATTCTGACCATCATCATAATATTTGGTTAAAAATCTGGCTGGCTCGAAATATCATTTGACATTTAACTATCATAATTTATTATACTTACGAGGTCAAGTTAGGAAACACTTTGAGGGTTTTAGGAGTTTTTAGAGGGGTTAAGCCTCCTATGCCCCCTTAATTTACGTCTATACTTACCATTATTATGTATTGATATATAAATACATTATATTATTATATATATATGTATATTATATATATATGTATATTATATATATATGTGATGTTGTATAGGAAAAATATATTTTAACATTTAGTTTTATAAAACAAAAATTACAATTATTATTATATTATAAAATATCCTTAGAAATAAAGATTGACACACTGTTTCGACTCAAAACTTATCTTAATTTCGTGTAAGATTTATCGTTGAATGAAAAATATGTATTAAGCTTATGAATTACGGTGACCTACTCAATTAAGAGGAACACTCAAAATCTACTATGCAGAATAGCTTTTATTATTAATAAAGAAGATATTCCAGAACTATTTATACATATTATGTAATATTAAATATAACTATTATATATTAAAAGCCTACAATATGTGTTATTTAAACCAGCTAAAAAAATATAAATGTATATTTTCGTGCTACATAAAGAGTGAAATGGTAGATCTATAGAGATAATTTCTGTAAAATATATTGGAAAAAAGGTGATTTATTAACTAACGTTGAATGTTTATATTGTCAAGTGAGTCTCAACGTTTAAGGGTAATATGTCAGATATTGATAATATAAATATGATAATATAATAGGGAATAATAAATGACGAGACAGTGAGACACCCTGTATAATATCATAGACCATAGTACCAACGTGGCTATGTCCAATAGTTATTATAGCGATAGTAAATATTCACAATTAAACTTTTATTACCCGAGCAACAACTATGTTTGATTAATGTCCCTTAAATGTAAATTTTGTATTTTCACATTGATTGATGAACATATTTTTATTTATTTTTTGTTTTAGTTTATAAGTCGATTGTAATGATTTTATTATTGCCTTTTTCACAACGAATAAATCAAATATTAAACCGTAAGCGACGATTGTTATCTTGTTACTCTATTGTCTTCTACTCGTGGCAATCATTAATATATAATGACACTAGAATAAGAGATTGGTAGTGATAATATACTATATTATCACTATCAAGAAAACCACCACCGGCAACCCCAATGATTTCCAGAAAAACATATCCGTACAACAACGCATAACGTACGACGTACCAGCGTTTGGGAATGATTGTGTAAAGTTGATTTTGATTAATACCTGACATCAAAATCAAATCAACAATCAACTTTACACAATCATTCCCAAACGCTGGTAAGTCGTACGTTATGCGTCGTACGGATATGTTTTTCTGGAATCATTGGCGTTGTCGGTGGTGGTTTTTTTAATAGTGATAATATAGTATATTATCACTATCAATCTCTTATTCTAGTGTCATTATGTATTATTAATTGCCACGAGTAGAAGACAATAGAGTAACAAGATAACAATCGTCACTTACGGTTTAATATTTGATTTATTCGTTTTGTTGTCGGTGGTGGTTTTCTGGTCCTCGTTTCGGGCGGCCGTGCGACGAGTCTTCAACGGCACTTTCTGTAAGCTTTAGAATCGCCTCATCTCGTTCCTTCTGCATATGCAAACGATACTCACGATTTGTGTTCTCGTAATTCTGCAGTACATTATGTCGAAATACACCGTATATGACTCCTCCTATCAGAAAACACCACCGGGTTGTTCGAATCAATGGTGAAACGTTTACTGGACTCTTGAAATCTCTGACCATCGTTCAGAAAACGACTATATTGCTGAATATTATTTGATCTAACTACTGATGCTCGGGAGTTTTTAATTTTTTTCCTCGATATCTGTGTATATAATATTAATATACACAATGCGGTTATCGCGTACCAAGCGGTTTGAGTGAATATAATACAAATGAACTCATGACTAGAATAGGAAATGATAATAGTTGTACTAAAATAAACAGTTTTCTGTAGGTAGGTAACATATTGTAATATTAGCCATTATGCGTAGTCGTCGTGTATTAGTGCAGGGACTCGTCTTTTGATTGTGACTGATGGGGGGCGTTATTTTAGCTGTTAAAACTCAAAATGTGGACAGACACGATAGTATTATAATTAAATTTAACAACCAGAAAGCAAATTTGAATATTCATAATCTAGCGTGTATGAATATTATGATGATACATATTGCAATATATGTGAATCACATTTGTGATTATAAATTATAATACAAATATTATGTAAGTTATAATAATACTATAAATAATTGATTAAGTTGTTTATTAATAATTAATACAAATACAATTATTGTACGCACGTGGGACTGAAGAATTCATATTCATAAGTTAAAAGTACTTGCAATCATACGCATTACAGGCATGTGATTTTTTAGAATATCTGAAAAGTATATTTTTGTTTTCAGTATGTTCTGCGTATTTGTTTTTACTGTTCTATTATAATATAGAGATAGCACTAGAACGGTGTGAGTTATTATATTATAGTATATTAATAATGTATTATAAAAACGCTAAACGTGTTTGGATTTAGGAATTTTAGCCTGTGCCCTACCACTCACCGTGATTATACTTGTTAGGAAACCGACGACGGTTATTATTATTTTATATACTCAACGCGTATTACGATTGTTGATGAGATATATTAATATATTATCATTATTTATTATATCCTTTTCGTAAATTTGTAGTAGTCACTATAATACTCCTAGTACCTACTATGTATTTTCGATGACTTCGTACGCGCCCTTCCGAACTCAATTTATATTCATGGTTTACGACCATGGGAATAATAATAATAATATGGGTAAGGCACATCAGTGTGTCAGTTATATTATAAACATTACATGGTACATGGTTTTTTTTTAATTATTATTAATAAAATATTATTTATTCTCACCGTGTTGGTTGGCTGGTCAGCCGGTACTCGTGTAATAATTGTATCGGATATGAAAGGCTCCAAACTAAGTAGGCACACCTAATTATATTTAGAAAACTATAATATTCGACTAAGGTTTGATTATAAGCTAACCGAATCGAACAGTCATTGACGATGAGTATTTTTAGTAAGTACATCCTAGCTAGGCACTTATTTAATGGACATCAGTATAATTAATTGTTTTAGTATCATATTCGCATATCAACCGAGTAGCATATTGCATATACATACATAAGATAAACTAGATATTTTAACTGGACTAAGACAAAAAACATTTCAACATTTTATTGTCCTCCATCCAAATATATAAATTCTTTATTTGTCTGATTTCTGCCTATTCATTCATAAAAATGATGGCACGACCATAGACATAACTCAGTAGGTATAAGTGTATAACTCTCTCAATAGGTAGGTATAATAAAGCCGTATATAGATATAGATGGAACATCTTACTCATTTACTGTGTAATCATTAAGATTTGTTTTTATAAATATCAATAATTGTAAATTAAGTATTAACTGTTAATTGTAGTCCTTAATCAGTTTATTTTCTAAGGAAGACGCCATATCAGCATTAGGTCAGGCCTCGTCTTGACCCTTATAATTTTACCTATTTGTACGTGTACGTGTTATGAGAACTCAAATCTCATACGACTTAGGTACGTGTATAATATATTTTTATTATATTTAAATTTGGCTTATGTCAAAATGTTAAATATTTTATTATACTTTTGCTGCTTTATACTGCATTTGTTAACTAATGATGTTCCTTATTCTCAAAGAATCTCTGTATTATGTTCACACTTATAATCCTTTTTTTAGCAGATAGATGATTTTATTTTTATTACAAAATAACGACTCGCTAATTCCAACTGTTCTGAGAATATATTTGCAAATAATACAAATTACAATAATTATTAACTAACGTGAATAAAAAAAAAAAAAAAAAAAAAACATTTAGTATTATGTTATACACATATAATAATTATATATTATGCAGGGATAGCCTATATACTTAACCTGTTCCATTCGCTTACTTTATTGTATTATACAAAAAGTTACACTGTAAAATATAAATATAATACAATGTAATAAAAATAATTGCTCAGTTTTGGGAAAGATCGTGGAAACAACCTTGAACTAATTAAATACGCTCGGTAAAATACCGTGGAATAATAAATAATTATACTGTAATAGTTACATTTATTACAGTGTACTTAATATGAGAGTGTGAAATCGCACAACCACTAACCGTTGAATGATGATCATTACAACCATCTACGTATCAATATTGTATACGGACGAACCTTAAACCATTATGACCTACAAAGAACAGTATGTATTAGTAATATTTTTTTTATTTTTTTTTGGAACGTCGGTGGATTTTCGTTAAGGGTTTGACTTTTGATCCTTAAAAAAAACCTAAAGGAACTAATAAACATAGTTACATAAAACATTTTTAACGAAAATATGACAAAAAAACAATAATAATATTTTATCAACAATAAAAATGAAATAAACCTTGATAAAAATTGAAAACATAATATCATTCATTCGTGATATAATGTATAAGCGTATACGTTTTAGTTTAGTTGTTTACAAATGCAGTCCAAGTATAATCTTTAGATTAAATGCTATTTATTTTAGATATATTATTAGAAATTCGGTAGAATTTCGGTTGAGTGATATCATATAAAACATTTTATTTTTGCTAATTCATTATACTGTGTTTTTTAAAATGAATTTTTTCATGTACGTGAATAATTATACATCGTACAGATCTTAAATGTGATTAAATAATTGGATGTTTGTACAATATGTGATTTCGTAGCAATGTATTTAATAACAAAAAACATATGCGATGAATAGAAGTATAGAACAAAATGTTTTAAATTTTTTCGTTAACGATAAGATGATTAATTAAGAATGTTTGTTTTTTTTTTTATCAAGACATTGATTATTGATTGGCATAAAATTGATGAATAATTTGGTAGACGTAGAACGATGATCGATATGTACTTATTAGGTATTATTACTGTTACACACAAACGTAACAAAATATATAAAGTATTTTTCAACAGTTCTGTTAAAAAATTAAACTTGGTAAAATTCTTAGATATTTCTATACTTACGATGTCATTTATAATTTGGAGTGTTATAGAGTTTTCGGATACATGTTCAGTTAAGAAATAACCTCAACTGTTTTTACTTTTTTATATTAAATAGTATAATATAGAACATTGTAAAATATTTAAATTATATTGTATTATATATAATGGCCAAATACATGTTATTATAAAGGTATAGGCATTATTTTATATTCGTGATAGGCTAAAAGATCGGAATTCAAATGACATCAAAGATATTATAATATTGTTTCTGTGATAATAAAAATACCGAAATACCTAAAAAATGTTTATATTGTATACACCACTATTTTATTAATTTAATGGTATACCTTACACATCAACTTGATATTTATTTTTATTTTTTTATTAATAAGTTCAGCAGAAATTTTCCAGTTTACGGTCGGTGGACCACCCTGTACGTACACAAGTAAGTAAGTTATACTCGAACGAGCGGCTAGGGCATTAAACTAAAACGTCGGACGCGATTCAATAAACTGCCTCCAAGAGTTGTTTGGCCAGAGCCGCCGCCGCTGTCGCCGCCCTCGTGGGAAATATAAACTCCAAAACTAATGGACGTTATCCGAAACGTGGCCGTCTGAGGTTTCCCGGAGGGCCCGACATTTCAGTGTTTTTAGTGGCTTATTTCTTATTTTTTTTTTTTTTTTATATACACATTTTCCTAAGTCATAAAAAGTTGGAGAACGAAATCGGAATGTACCAGTGAGGTGTAAACAATTCACATGAGTTTTTGAACATGTGCATACCTATATCTACTGTATCGACCATTCACTTAGTTTGACCGTGTTATTAACATTCAGTCGGCGTGTGTATTGCGCCTGAGTTGAGTCGAATTTCCCGGACTTTTGTCATGCGTACCTATACGCTGTGGATAAAAGAAATTGAAGATAATAATGATTAGTATATACACCATAAAAATGTACAATTATATCGAAGTGTCACGTATGCAGATAGAGGTATCGCGGACAAGCGATATAAATATTATATAATATAATATGTATTTAAAATCTAAAACGTTTACACGGTTTACCTAAATTGATAAAGGTACGCGGTGACGTGTAGTATACGACAAAATTGTATATAAAAGTAGATATGTTATAATATATTGTTTACATATTTAGCACAGTGAAAAACCGATAAAGTTTCCGTTTTAAGATATTTAAATATTAATTTAATTTAAACTTATAACAAAGTGTGTAAAAACTCAGGTGTTTTAATTATTCATTTAATATGTACGTTTACTGTAACATTATTTATAGAACAATTTTCGTAATAAATGAAAGTATTCTATAACCTCACGTAATATATACAGAATTCGTATTACCTTTAATATTTTATAATTTCTTGAGTAAGTCATTATTATTATTTTTTAATTATTCAAAAAAAGTAAGCTAAAGTTTATGCTAAAACCAAAAAACTCATAAAAGTTATCTTATCTAATTTAAATTTAAATTTTACTTAAACAAAACCATGAAATCTCTGTTTTTCTAAAACAAAATAACTAATGATATTACTTACTGAGACTCATATTTTATTTTACCTCGTAAAATGTACAAGACAATTAAAACACAAACATATAGACACTAGTCTATGCTCTATATTATAACATATAACATATACTTATACATTATTATGATATAAATATCCTAAGATTAAAAAAAA